CAAGTCCAAAAGAGCACATGCAAAATGCAGTGTACAATTTCCACAAAAGATTACATTCAATCCCTCTGAACAAAACACATCCCCATCATCTGATCTGATTTCCCTTTACTCACAATTGCATCATTCTTTTCTTCTTCTCTCTTTCTAAAATGCTGTTTCAAATTAGATTCTCCAATCCAAAAGGTTAGACCATTGGAAAACAGTCAAACACAGCCAACTAAAAAAATAAAGGGCCCGGCGCAAACGGGCTCAGGCCCGATGCTGGCCCGACTCCCCAACCACCACCACTTGCACATCGGGCTCGCCAGAGGGCCCGGCATTCTCGGCCCTGATTGGGCGTAGCAAGCCCTGCAGTCTCAGCAGATAGCTTTGGCTCGGTGACTGGCTCCTCATGTACTGCTGAGCTGTCGTGACCGAGTTAACCGGGCCTCGCTCGAGGTCTGACTGGATATTGGATAGTGCACTCAAATCGAGGTTCGGGAAAACCGAGCAACGGCACCTGGGACATTTCACGTTCAACCGAAGCCACTGGTCAATACACTCCACGTGAAAATTGTGGGCGCACGGGAGGCCACGAACCTGCGTTTTTCGAACAAACTCAAAATTCGAAAAAATGTAAAAAAAAACAAGGTAAAAAAAAAGTGATTTTTTTTTTTTTATATATATTTTTATGCTGAATGTTTATCATACCTCATTTCCAACACGAAACTCTTCCAAGCAAATGGGACATTCGCTGCAGTCGGTAGGAACTGCTTTCATGCGGAACTTTGGAAGTTCTTGAATAAGTGCTTCCACTGCCTCTCTCTGCATATAAGCATAAGTTTTTTTTGCATAATGCATTGCTAATTGAATGATAACCGAATAAAATCGAGCAAAGCCCATATGTTACCTGGGCTGGGGTTAAGTAAAGTCCAGGATGGTATGGACCGGCATCTTGGCCCATTCCTCTCATCTCTTGCCCAGCAGCTTCAATAGCCCAATCTGGGACCCTAACCATGTCAACCAAAACCTGAAACCAAAATTAATTCAAGAATTTAGGGATTCAAAAAATAAATATGAAATCTGCATATGTGAAGTCTGCATTTCTTGAACTAGAAAGAATTGCGAAATGTACGAAAAAAGATGGTCTTATAAAACATCTTCATCTCTGAATGCAAACAGTTACTAAAAGCTTACACCATATTCAGAAACAGGAATCCCTTGTTGTGCACGCAATAGATGCGCCTGCCTTCTTGTTAACCACTGCAAAAGTAAAAATATCAAGATCAAGAAAGCTTATTTTACACGAGCAATTACAGTAATGTGAGGACCTAATCCTTCATGCTAAATGAAGAATAAATTAACAAAAAGAGAAATATTTGGCAGAACTTCATAAGGGCTTCATCAGATTTATTATCCTTTTTTTGGGGTAATTGCAAAAATATGTACCAATGAGATTCAGTCTGATCAAAGAACATGTTTTTATTTTATTTCACCAAGTGCCACCTTAAGAATGGGACATTGTTTAGTCAAATTTGAACAACTTACCGAAAAAATGAAAAATAAAAAAGGTGTTGGAATAAAAATGAGCAATAAGAACACGAACCTTTCCCATACAGATGCAAGCAATGCACACAAGCCCACAATAGCTGAAAAGCAACCATATAAGAAAACCCCATTTCTGACCATCCTCCGGCAGCTGAGAAAATATTTCAGGCATTATTATATATTTGTTCCTCATTTGCAGCATATGAATTATTTTCAGATAGAAATAGAAACCAAGTGAAAACTTACACAATTTTTTGAATGAGAAAACCAAAGAGTGCCAACAACAGTCCAAGCCAAAAGGAAAGGGTAAAGTAGCAGAACAAGAATCGAAAGTACAACAGCTCTCCCAACAAAACGTGCATATCTTTGCTGCCAGCCGAGATCCCTAAACCGTGTGTCAACAGAGGCAAATAATCAAAGAATAACAGAGCATAAGACTTCACACAATTCTTCAGTCAATACAACTGAGGTCTGATTTATGCAACTTATAACTATTTTGAACCTAAGTGAATTAGTTAACAAGATTCAAGATTCGAGGCGTGAACATAACAAGAAAATGAATATAACTCAAATTTTATCTAACACTTGATAAAATATTACATCAGCTTACAACATTTCACTTGATAGCAAAGTGCAGGTAATGTATGAATACTACAACAGTAATAGAAACTCTTATGGTATTAAACAAAAATAACCGCAATTTGTGAAAGGAAAGGGGGTCTTACAATCCCATTCCAGCAGCCAATCCATTGTCCACAAACATCAAGAGCCGGAAAATAAACACTGTGGTATAATCAGCCTAGCAATACAAGACAAGAACCACCATTGATATCATTTACAACTTCAAGATCCCATAAAGAACAGACAAAAAACTAACTGTTCTGCTCTTAAATAATTTAAATATTACTCACCACAATCCATACGTGCAACGGATAAGTACATGAGTGGTACTTGTCCCAATTGATAGCCACAATTATTCTAACAAAAAGGTTAAGAAATCACCCAAATCCGATAAAGACACGGCAATGTATTATATCGATCGATTAAGCCGAAGTTCACCACTCGAAACAAAGAGGATAGCAGAAAACCCACAACACCGAAAAAAAGATAGCCTTTACCTAATAAATGAAATCTGAACATCTATTGTTTGTGCTACTTAGAAAACAATCTCGAGCTCCCATTTAAAAAGGATACATGCTTGTCGCAAGCATGGACAAGAAGAACCCATCATACCTGCAAAAAAGAATACCCACATTTGAAAACTTCGCTAAACCCCATTAAGCATTCAAACCGAAACTTCACTAAATCAAACAGTTACAACGTCCGGGTTTCATTTCCCGCTTGATAAGTAAAAAAAATCAGTCACTTCATTTCTTGCGAAGAAGAAAAAAAAATTACCACTTGAAATCGACGCCTTTGATCGCCATTGAAAAAGAAGCTTAACCCTGAATCCAAGATTCGATTTTCATTTCACCAAGCTAAGCATTCAGGCACCGAGTCCACTCACAAAACACGACCGAATTTATGTACGATTTATTTGAAGAATCATACTGAGGATAGTGGGGTGACAGTGTGTGAAGAACAAGCAAAGAGAGTGATTCGATTCCAGAATTTATGAGCAACAACAACGCGTGATCAGAGAAGAAAGGCAAGTTCAAGAAGCAATTTTTCCAATTTATTATTTTTCCTCATTTATCTATTCTCTTTGTGGGGGGTTTATTGGGGGTGGAAAGCTTGTGGGTTGTGGGCATAAAATAACCATACGCTTTTAATAAAGTAGAAATGGAGGGAAAATAAAAAATAAATTTGGAAAAAATAATAAAATAAAAAATAAATAACTGCATTTTATGTCTCTACTGTTTGGTAGTNAAACACTATTGATCATTTAAAAAAAAAAACACGAATAACGTTCATTTAATTGATTGATCAATCAAAGTTGCTTAATTAATTATTTTAACCTTTCGAGACTTGAAATGTTAAATTTGGAAAAGCTAATAACAATTATATTTTTTTTTTTGTTTTTATCAAATATTTCTTTGATAAATTTGATCTACATGGTTAAATCAACTAATACAATTGACTAGTTACCCATTAATACAATCAGCTATTCGATAGCAGTCAATGAACAAAGTTCTTTATCAACATATATTATGGTGGATATTTGAATGTATTCACTTTACAAGATGTTTTAGTCACAAAATTTAAAAGTTATTTAGGTAAATAATTGGAATGATTGAACTTCTATTTGAATCTAAAATCTCTCGGCATCTCTTTCTTTCTCTAGAGAAAAAAAAAAATGATTTGACTGGCAGACCCCCTCTTCTCAAACGTCGACGTTTGGCGACTGATCTTCTCTCCAGCCACGGGTTGTGCTGATGGCGGTCGTTTGTCTTTTTGCTCAGCTAATGTGTGCGAATGGGTCGAAGATGATGGCTCCTCCAGCGGGCTGGTCAGGTTCGCTTTCCCAATGTCCGTTTATCTCACGACCGACTGAATGTTGTAGGAGCTCAAATCTAGGCCGAATCTCGTCTTTTCGCTAGATCTAACTAGGCGCTTGAATAAGTTCGTAGTTTTTAGTTATAGGGTCTCTAATTTGTTGCTCTCCTTTGGTTTATCGATTGTGATTTTGGATTGTTGTGGGGTGTGACCCGCATGTTGGTTCGGGTGATTGTAGCGGTGTGCCCGTGAATTGTAAGGGAGGTAGTATTCTATTGTTCGTATATGTGTGGTTGCGTTTTTCTTCAAGTTTTAGTTTTCAATCCTGTTGCGTCTAGTAGTAATTTCCTTNCAGTGTGTTTGTATCTATTCAATTGCCTATCGTTTCAACGGAGATTGTTCTAGGCTTTGTTCTGAATCTTGTAGTGTCATTCGACATCTCGGTTGTACTCTTTTGTGTTATTAATATAATTATCTTTAAAAAAAAACATACTTTGTGGGCAAAGAATGTATACTTTGGTGAATAGTTGACACAATCACTCAAAGCTGTACTTCCCACCTAAAAAGTTTAAAATTAGAGAGCTATTTGTGATTTAATGAGGAGAAATTTACTATTTACATGATTTTTAGATGCAAATTAGACTAATGATGTGATAATCTTATAAGCCAAACGAATATAACTTTTTAAATGTGATTTCTTTGAAGGAATTTAACTACATTCAAAATGTAAGCTTAAAATATTTATTTTCATTACTATATCTTACTTTTAAATTTACTGGGTTTGTTGTGTTTGGTTTATTTGTTTTGTATTTTTTACTTTCTTTGTACAATTCTTTCCATTACGCTACTGTCTCAATAAAGATTGAAACTATTATAATCTAATATTTATATTTTAATTATTGAGCTTATACATATATATAAACACAATTTTTTACAATCTTGTCTGCATAGCAGTTTACGTCGACCTATATATTTGAACAAAAATATATATTTATACTATCAAATATTATACTTTTTGTTTATTTTGTTTTTTTAAAATACATTTTTTAATTAAAGTATGTATACTTAAATACTAAAACACACCCCCCCAAAAAAAAAACTTGACAATTAATATAAACAAAGACATACAAGTGGATGCCCAATGCATTCAATAATCATCTTAAAATTTACTTTTCTTTTAGAAAGTAGGTACACTGTTTGGTCGGTTTAGGCCAGCTCTAGGTGATAATCCACCACAACAAGTAACACAAGTTTTGTTTTTTGAAATATTCCCTTTTTCAGCATACATCAATTGTCATGTACTTAAAATGAAACAATAAAAAAAGAAAAGGTGGAAAATTCATTTTCAACTCTCTAAGAATGAGATTTGCCATATAAATGTAGTATTGGACCACATGAAAAAATTCACTAACAATTAAAGTGTACTTTGCAAAGGTCCTTCTCCATGCCTCAATGGTAGTTCCAAACTAATTATTATGAAATTATATCCATTTTCTTGCAAGTTATGGGTGTGTTATTTGTGGCCAACTTTAATATGGTTGGGTCTTGTTATATGAAAAACAAAGCAATTATTTTGTTTAAATGGTATGTTGGTGTTAGGCAGGTATAATCGTTACAATTTTTTTGCAACACAAATTAATTTTGCATGAGATGATGTAATTGTTATGTTGATCTATCGCTCATACTATTTAAAAAAAAAATGCACACTTATACTATGAAATAACATACTTTTGCTTATATTTGTTTAGAGTATGATATTTCAGTTCGAAAGTAAACATGTTAGAAAATTATTTCCGCATATCAACAGTCTTACTGCTTTTGTAAATAGGCATACATTCATGGATAAATGACATACTTAAAACAGTGTTCTAAAAGTCGCTAGGCGCCCGCTAGGCGCTCGACCAGTGCCTAGCGCCTAGAGCGCCTAGTCGGGGCCCAGAAATCAATAGTAAATACCAATGTTATCAAAACCGGACCGGACCGGCCGGTTCAACCGGTTGGACCGGGAACCGGACCTAGTACCGGTCCGGTTTGAGTGTTTAAACCGCTGGGAACAAGAACCGGTTTCGAACCGTTCGAACCGGTTCAAAACCGGTAAAACCGGTGAACCGGTACCGGTTCGACTGGTCGAACCGGTTCTGAAATTTGAAAAAAAAAATTAATGAAATAAAAAAAAAAAATCAAACAAAAGGAAAAGAATGAGAGAGTATTTTGATGTTTGATGAATTGTAATGTTGGATTGGATATATTTTGATGTTTGATGACTTTGTAGTTTGTATTTGTAATTTGGATTGCCTTGCTTTAGATAATAGATATTGAATTATTAATCTATTGTTTTAGTGAACTTAATTTAGTATTGCTTATGGTAAACTATACTTAAAATATTGATTTATCAACTCTTATTTAGAAAAATATCATTATATGCTATAAAATTAATATAAAATTAATGATAAATATATATATATATA